AAAAGGTCGGTTATCTATTGAGGCATAAAAATAGCAATAAGTGGCGAGTTTAGTTGTCAACAAACTCACTTTATATATTCTTCCAGTGCTCGGTATGGAGGCCGCCAACAGGTCTTTGCAATAATTTTCTTTTCGAGTGAGATGACTCCCCTAAATGGGATCACTACAATCCTTTTGACTTGATAAAAGTGTACAAAATGATCAGAGGTATAGATAGAGTGAATAGCCGGAGACTTTTTCCTAGGGTGGAGCTAGCTACTACGAGGGGGCACAGTTTTAAATTGAGTGGAGGGAGATATAGGGGAGACGTCAGAGGTAGGTTCTTTACTCAGAGAGTGGTAGGAGCGTGGAATGCATTGCCGGAGAGGGTAGTGGAGTCGGCCTCATTAGGGGCATTTAAGCGGACATTAGATAGGCATATGGATGATAGTATAAGGCAGGGGTGGAGGTTAGATAGGCCTTAGGTTTAGGGTAAAAGTTCGGCACAACATCGTGAGCCAAAGGGCCTGTACTGTGCTGTACAGTTCTATGTTCAATGTTCTAAGTATGGTATGGTAGTAGCGTTACATCTGTACAGTCCTGACTTCAGGCAGGCCAACATACCTCGATGTAATAGTGATGCCACATGTGCATAAGGTTCTGAGCATCGCTCGGCCTTTGCCACTGTCAGTCTTACCCGTGTGTATGTCAGTCAGCCACGGGGTAGATGAATAATTACCATGGATTACACCATTCTTTAGCATAGCTATGAATTTACTGTGGGCTCCAACATAAATAAACGATATGATGCATGAACTCAATAGTTGAAGCATATACCCGTTTTCTGGAGAATAACTGTGGTAACAATAAAATCAGAACTTGAGGTATATGTCGCGTTGACATTTCGTACATAGTAGATCGTTATAAAAGATAAAAATTACTATAGGAGGAAACAGTCCGAGACAGTGAAGAGTAAAATGATGGAGCTTCTCCATCTTTGAATTATTCTTATTATATCTATTGTTTTGGACCCAGCGTCACTGCGGGCTCTATTGGCCGTCAGAAAGCGTCTGACAGTTAGAATATTGAACAACAAAATCAGAACAGAAGAGAAACAAGGGTCAAAATGGAACGATTCCAATCGTATGCAGTCCAAGGAGAGGACGCATAAAATTTTGCTTCTTTGCTACAGAACCATATTGTTATGTATTGTGGAATATACAGGACATTTTTTTATATAGTCAAGTGCTAATATTGTACCTATAACACGTGCTCCTATCTTTTGAGTGCAATACCTTATTTTCGACTCCCGGCAAGACATAGCAATAAATCTGTCAAAAGTGAATAAGACTGTGAACCAGGCTTTGTAAGTTAGGGAGGTCGCTACTGTATCGAAGCTGTGGCTGTAAGAAGTCAATTTGTCCTTTTTTTTTGAAGAGGTTATAAGGCAGAGCAGTCTACCAAAATCACTAGAGTAAACAGCTTGTGAGGCCTTTGGTTTTAACGTTGGAACAACAGAAGTAGCCTGAATGGGTGGGGTCAAGTTCTCAAGAAACCAGCATTTTAGGTTTTTCAGCAGCAGTTGTTATTGGAGTTTCAGCAAGGTTAGAAGGCAGTGAATCTTTCCCAGCTGCTGCAGTGTCTCTCTGTGTATTCTCTGGATGTTTTTCGGGGCAGTACGGTGGATCAGTGGTTAGCACTGCTGCCTCGGGTTCAATTCCAGCCTTGGGCAACCGTCTGTGTGGAGTCTGCAGGTTCTCCCCATGTCTGCGTGGGTTTCCTCCAAGTGCTCCAGTTTCCTCCCACAGTCCAAAGATGTGCAGGCTAGGTGGATTGGCCATGCTAAATTGTCCATAGTGCCCAGGGATGTTTAGGTTAGGTGGATTAGACATGGGAAATCAGTGGTAGGATAATGAGGCTGGGTGGGATGCTCTTCGGAGGGGCAGTGTGGATTTGTGTGGGCTGAATGTCCTGTTTCCACACTGTAGGGATTCTATGATTCCTGGGCTGCTGGAGTTGCATGTAAGACGATTCTGTTTTCTGAATTTGCCTTTTGCTAAGTGTGTCTTTATGGGATATTGCTATATTGAAACGGTTACTGTTTAGTTGTAAAGTTATGTATTACTCAGATAGGTTTTCCAATAGAGTTGTTATTCCAAGTTCCACTTTCTTTTGTTCTATTTTAACGATAGTGTTTGAATAAATTGTGTCTGGCTTAACGTCAAACAGTTTGACATTGCATCTGGAACACAGTACCTCACATTTACCTTTAAAATAAGATCAAGGTTAGGGTCAAGGATATTTTCTTAATGTATTGTGAGGGGATTTTGTCCGCTGTGTAACAAATTGAGGGCTATTGTCAGGATCAAAATCTCTAATTCCAGGTTGGGTTTAATATTACTGGACTCAAAGGCAGCGAGTGGTAAGTATCGGTACCTGTTATTTCAGGTGTTAAATTTGGTTGATTTAAACAAGATGTGCCTTGTGTAATAAAGGCTCTTTCAGTCACCAGGAGTTTCCTGCGTGTGGAAGAAGATACTTCGGGAGTTTTAGAGAAAGTGAGCAAGACAATGCTTTCCCAAATGTCAAGCAAGCTGAAGTTGGAGTTGCCTATCTGAGAAAGTGGGAGATAGTTATGGTAATCGTGCAGCTTTTACAATTGCCAGGAATGCCACCAGAATCATTGGAAATGGCTAACATTCAATTGAAAATGAAACAGCTTGAACATGAAAAGGAAAAGAAACAGTTTGAATTACGAATGAAAGCAGAGATAAGCAGAAAGAAAGAACAGCTCCAGCAGAAGTAAAGAAGAGGAAAGAATAGCCCCAGCAGAAGACAGGGAGAAATAGAGATTAGTTGAACTTTCAAGGTTAGAAGTAAAAGCAATGATGGAGACCAATCCCATCACAGTCAAAAGGCTTGTGCTTAAATAAGTCCAAACGTTGCCTTAGTTTGACGAGAAGGATGTGGAAGACTTTTTCATTTCGTTGGGGAAAGTGGCTAAACAAATAAAATGGCTGGTGACCATGGTTCTAAACAAAGTTGATAGGTAGAGATCGTGAGATATTTGCATGACTATAAGAGGATGCATCTCAGTAGCATAATGTGATGAAAAATGACATCTTAAGTGCATATGAGCTAGACCAGAAGCCAACAGACAACATTTCAGAAATCTTTTTTATGTTGGACTTTGTTGAAAGCCTCCTGAAAGTCCAGATAAGCCGTATCCACAGGTTCACATGATCAACTGTACTAGTTACATTTAATGGATTTGTCAAGCTCGTTTTCCCTTTTGTAAATCCATGCTGACTGTGTCTGATTCTGTCACTATTTTCTAGGAGTTCTGCTATAAAATCCTATATAATGGTCTCTAACATCTTCTCCGCTGCTGACGTCAGACTCACTAGTCTAAAGTTCGCTGTTTACTCTCTACCTCTCTTTTTAAATAGTTGTGTTACATTCGCTACCGTCTAATCTCTGAGGCCTGTTCCAGAGCCCAAAGACCCTTGGAAGATGACCAACAACGCATCCACTATTTCTGGGGTCACTTCCTCAAGTATTGTGTGACGTAGATTATCAGCCTTGAATCTCACAATTTGTTCAACACCGTTTCTCTCAAGTAGTACCTGCTTCAGTTCCCCCCACTCACTAATCTCTGTGTTCCCCATGATTTCTGGTACGTTATTTGTTTCCTCCTTTGTAAAGATAGAGACAAAATTTCTTCGTTTTGTTTCGTTCTTTTTTCCTCTGTCAATGTCACATAAAACACCATTCATGCGCATAGGTTTGCGATGATATATTTCTCCCAGTGACTTGAAAAACGTATCTCTATTCACAGCTCTGGACGTAGAACAACGGAGACATCAAGAGATAAGGAGAGACCGATCACAAATTTCCTGAATGGTTGTCAAACAGTAATGAGAATATTGGGAATATTTGGGTCATTCGGATTCATGTATCTGATAAATAAGTCTGCAGGCTCGCTAAATGCAGGAATAATGGATTGTGTTGTTTTGACGATCTAAAACAGTGGTAGAACACTCCCATGGTTTTTCTAACCCATGTCTTTAATCTCCTGGTCATGACTACACGCCACAAGATGCTATTAATGTTATTTTAAATATTCACAGAACTATTTATTCGTCTAACACGATGTTAAAACAGCTCCCTTTCTTTTTATGGTATATTCTTTTATTTTAAAAGAAGCATTGGAAGCTGAAACCAACTCTCTTACTGCGCTGCAAAGTTACATTAGTGCAGACGTATCACCGTATGTTCCTCTGCTTATCCACCACTTTAGAACTAAGCTTTTTTTCGTATTTTCATTCAACGTTCTCCTCAAACGGATTACTTCAAATTTTTGTGTATTAATTGAATCAGCTGTTTGATCGTCCAATCCAGTGAACTTTCATTTGAAATTGTACATTACACTTCTCACACTGCAGATTGCCATCACATTTATTGTAATACATCAATATAAACGTATTTCTTACACAAACACCTGTAAAACTTCATTACCCACCGTAGTCTAAAATCAATTGCTGTGGTAAACGCTTAAATTGTTTAATTTTATATAACAACTTTAGTCACGTGCTGGAATGTCTTTTTAAATTCACTGCATTCAAATTTGCGAATTTTTCTTTTAATTGATGTGTTATCAAATAGCTTTTTAATCGGCATAGACAATCGGCACACGCCTTCATTAAACACCTCCACATTTAACTTAATTATTTAATCAAGGCTGTCAGAAGAAATTAGTGATTGCAAGTTTGTATTGATCAGTATTTCTTAATTAGCACATTAGCTCACAGGATTTCTTTTCCTGCCAAACGTAAAATTCTGCCTGTCATTTGTTACATCATGTTCATTGTTCTAATTTTAGTTTGATTTTGCACTGTAAGTTTTTAACCGATTGATATATCCAAAAAAAGGCTAAAATATCAAAAGGGTCTGCTGTTTCCATCCTTATTTCCCTCCATAATCTAGGTTCCATTTTATCTGAACCCGCTTAACTTTCCACTTTAATCACTGTCAAAATATTTACGCATTAGTGTATTTTCCAGTTGCTCGGCAGCTCCGTCTTTACTTTGACATCTGTAGTTGTTGTTTTCATTTACAGTACGGTTTTCACGTTCGCATGCGCTCTGAATTTTTGTATGTTTTTAATTAATTTCCATTTTAAGAGCAAAGATGCTTGACAATAATCCTAACCAACTGGATAAATGCCTACTATGAGTCAGTCTTTGCATTTGGAGTTACAAGTAAGTCCTTCATCAATTACACAATTTGTTCCGCTAGGAATATTTATGTATTGCAATAAATGGGCAAACTATAATTCCACTATTTAAATACTTATATAAATCAACGTATTTAAAGACGGATATGATTTAATATTAATATGAATTCTATAGAAACAGGATATGAAGAAATACGAAGGAGTGTATTCCAAGTTCAATGAAATTCCTATTCGGCATCACCACATGAAATATGCAGAGACCGTGGATTCAATAGCAAACGGTTTCTCTCCGCAGGCCCGGGAATAGAAACACAGAAAGGGACTGTGAATGGTGAAGACATGCATTTAATGTGAAAATAAAAGAAAAGCAGAGGTGCTGAATTAAAGGGTATTCATTTTTATTAAATGTGTGTTAATTGTTTCGCAAATTGCAGAGCCATTAGTTCCTCCTGTATTGTATGTTGTTAAGGCCTGCCATCTACAGTGTCCAGTAGTTTTACACGACAATAGATCCTTTGTCCTTATGACCGCACTTTTGAGATCATTACTAAAGGGAAGTGACATGGTTGTTTTTTATCTTGGTAAAGAAAGTAGCTAAATTAGAGAAAACAAGTTGTGATTGCAAAAGGACAAGTTCACAACGAGGAGGCTGCAACATACAAATCAATCTGTAAAAACAATACTTCAATGCTTGAACAGGTAAAGTACAAAACAAGTTCAGGACATGCGCAGCAAAAGTAATGTGTGTTGTGACAAGAAAATTATAAGAATCCATTCTTAGAATAGCAGTTTAGACACACCAGATGACAAAGTTGACGAATGGAATGTGGTGATCCCAGTGCTTTTTTTTCGAGAATATTAGGATTTCTGCAATTTCTTACATTACCACAAGTGGAGTTTGCCAGGCTCATGCCGAGGTCAACAGAAAATTGAGCGATCAGCCCGATGTATCAGTAACTTCCTCACAATATTATTAGGGGATTCCAGAATGCAAAATCGTTAGTGAAAACAAGATATTTAATATGCAGATTAGTTCTTTATTTTAGGGGCTAGTTATTGGTAATCCCTTATTTTTATCACAAATTTCTTGATGACAAGATGGCGTATTCGGAGGTGGCCGGGAAGGTTTTGAAGATAGAATCCCAAATCCTGTTTTTTTTTTAATAAAGGTAAGATGTTTGAAATAGATTTTTGTCTAATTCCCGAAGCATTCATTCTGTCCCTACCTTAAGTCATGCATGAATATGGGTATACGGGAAATCCTAACAATTACAGAACAAGTTTGTGGACCTGACGCGTTAACATTTCAGTACACAACCTCCAGGAAGTTTGGACTAATGAATTTTTGGATCTCATGAGGTAAGTGTGATCAATCAAGTGAAACAACAGAGAGGAGATTGAATGTACAAGTCATTTTTACTACTTTAGATATTTATAGAATCTAGCAATGAGATTTACTGGATATTTCGCTCCATTCTTTAATTCATCCCTGACTTTACGCTGTATTCCTGCATAAGTAAAAGGGTTTATGCAAGAACTGAGCAACTGCAGCATGAATCCACTTTCCTCCAGAATAAAGTTAGAATCATTGAAATTTGAACCTGAGAAATAAGTAATATCCGCAATTCGGACATAGACAACTGTTACAAAAAACAGCAAATACAACAAGATGAAGCTTCCAGAGACGCTAAAGAGTAAAACAATGGACTTCTTTCTCTTCTCGATCTCAGGGTCACTCTGATTTTGGACATTGTCCTGAATTCGGAGTCTCTTTCGGGCTCTATTTGCTGTTAGAATATGTTTAACAGTCAGTGCATTGAGCAGTAAAATCAGAATAAAGGGGAGACAAGGCGTTAAAATGGTAAGAATCCAATCATATGTGGCCCATGCAAGTGACGTATAAAATATTGATTTTATGCTGCAGAACCAAGGCCTGTTTTTGGCTATGTACACTGGTTCGTAAATAAAATATAAGAATGCATTTACCAAACAGCTCAGTGTGTAGACGATTGCTATCACGTGCCACGCCTTTCTTTTGGTGCAATATTTAATTTTGAAATTTTGACAACAAATGGCCACAAATCGATCAAAGGTGAAAGCGACAGTTAACCATACTGACATGCTGAATGTTCCATAGTTCAAGACAGAACGAAGACTGCATAACGGAGTGATGGACAGTAAACTGTTAGGAAAATATATGCCAGAGATCCGGTTTAATATCACAGCGGTGATAATGACCAGTAAATCTGCGACTGCCATAGACACTAGGTAGTAAATGATGCAGCCAGGGAGACCACATGCTTTTCGGGACAGGATCAAGATCACTGCTAAGTTAGCTGGAACAGAAAAGGACAAAATAAAAGAGATGAAAGACTGCGAGAGCAGGGAAATTATTTCTCAAAGAAAGAAAACATTTTCCATGTCATGGAAACATTCATATAGAAATATTTTATTTTTCCCTGGTCTTTTCAATCTGTGCCTTTTATAAACATCTCAGTTAAAATTTATACAAAGCACTTATATTAAAATGTGAAAGTGTACAATGAACACAATGAAGAATAGCTAGCCTAAAGATAACACAACGTGGCACATCAACTCCCATAACGTAGCGTCAGCACATTTTCTTTCGGATATTCCAGATGATAAAGAACATGACATGCAGCAAATTGGTCAATCAACTGTTCGAGGACATTTCAACAGCAAGGAGTGAATTGTGCAAGAAAATTTGTTTCTAACTTTGGAAAGGTGATGTTTGTGTGTTGTTAGTAAAAGCAGTGAGACATTCCAACATTTGCCTATGGTCATGATCTGAACTACTGAAACTTGGAAGTGACGCAGTTTCTCTGGTAGCAAGATATAGATTAAAAATTAGATAATTAATGTCAATATTGAGGACAGTTGCACAGGCTACCTCAGTGAAGAGAAAATACTGAAGACCGCCACAGTCAGGATAACTGCCAGCTAGCAAAGAAGCATCTGCTTTCTGCAGATTTTACTGTAGACTTGTGATCCATAAGGATTTTGAAGAAACTTGTCTGTTAGTAACACTTAGATTGAGGGTTTGAGAACAGACATCGTATTTTGTGAGTATTTGTGGAAGTTTAGACGTCTGTGAGTGGATAGGCTGATGAACTGGTATCTATGAAATGTAAATGCATGGAGTGTGGTAATCAAAGTTTTAAAAATGCTGGATCAAACAAGCACAAGAGATTGTGGGATTGTGAAGATATCAGAAAATGAAGCCAAAATAATTACCTCGCTGCATATCCAAAATGTTTGGATGCCATTCATGCAGCAAAGAGAATAATATTCTGACGTGAAGGCAATGGCTGCAATGATTCGGAGAAATACTGTGTTCCTCAACAGAATTTTGTTTGGAGGCTTCAATAGATTAAGCTACTTTAGTATTGCATCGAAGAAAAGAAAGTAAGAAGAAAAAAAACATCAGAATGTTTTGCAGAAAGCAGGTCCGGCAGCATTTGTGGAGGGACAATAGAGTCAACAGTTTAAGTCACATTTAGAGTTGTACAGCATGGAAACAGACCTTTTAGTCCAACTCGTCCCTGCCGACCAGATATCCTGAATTAATCTAGTCCCATTTGCCAGCATTTGGCCTGTATCCATCTGAACCCTTCCTATTCAAGTAGACATTCCGATGACTTTTAAATGTTGTAATTGTACCAGCCTCAATCATTTCCTCTGGCAGCTCATTCCATACACGCACCACCCTCTGTATGAAAATGTTGTCCCTCAGGTCGCTTTTAATCTTCCCTGTCACCTAAACCTATGCCCTCAGGTTTTTGACTCCCCCACCCCGGGGAAAAAACCTTGGCCTTTCACTCCACTCATGACCCTCATGAATTTATAAACCTCTATAAGATCATCCGTCAAGCCTGCAACGCTCCAGGGGAAATAAACCCAGGCTGTTCAGGCTCTCATATAGCTCAAACACTCCAACCCGAGCAACGTCGTTGCAAATCTTTTTGGAATCCTTTCAAGTTTAACAACATTTTCCCTATAGCAGGGAGACGAGAATTCAATGCAGTATTGCAAAAGTGGCCAAACCAATGTCCTGTAGAGCCACAACATGACATTCCAATTGCTATACTCAATGATTGAACAATACAGACAAGTGTACCAAAAGCCTTCTTCACTACCCTGTCTCCATTTTCAAGGAAATATGTACCTGTATCACAAGGTCTCCTTGTTCGTCAACACTCCCGAGGACCCTACCATAATATGTATATGTCCTGCCATAATTTGCCTTCCCAAAATGCAAGACCTCATATTTATCTGAATTAACCTCCATCTGCCACAGCTCAGTCCATTCGCTCATCTGATCAAGGTCTAGTTGTACTCTGAGATAACTCTCTTTACTGTCCACTACACTGCCAATTTTGGTGTCATCTGCAACCAATCCTCCTATAATCATATCAAAATCATTTATATAAATGACAAAAATCAGTCGAGCCTGCACCAATCCTTATGACACACAACTGGTCACAACCTTCCACCACCATCCTCTGTCATAGAATCATAGATTCCTACAGCACGGAGACAGGCAATTTGGCCCAAACTGGTCTGTGCTGACCAAAATATTCATCCACGCTAAGCCCATTTCCCAGTACTTGCCCCATATCCTTCTAAACCTTTCCGATCCATGTATTCATCCAAAAGCCTTTTGAACGTTGTTAATGTACCCATCTCAACCACTTCGACTGGCAGCTCAGTCCATATGCGTACCACTGTCTCGGTAAAACAAAACTTGCCCGTCAGGTTCCCATGTATTCTTTATCCTCTTACCTTAAACTGATATCCTCTAATTCTCGATTCTCAACCCTGGGAAAAAAGAATGAGTGTATTTACCCTATGCATGCCTCTCATGATCTTATACACTTCTATAGGATTCCCCCTAGCCCCCCCCCCCCAGTATCCCAAGAAAAAAGAATCTAAAGCAAGAATCTAAAGAAAAAAGTCCTAGCTTGTCCAACCTCTCTCTATTACTCAATCCCTTGAGTCCTGGTAACATCCTTGTAAATTTCTCTGCACTCTTTCCAGTTTAATAATATCCTTCCTGTAGCAAGGTGACCAAAACTGAACACAATATTCCAAGTGCGGCCTCACCAACGTCATGTACAACTGCATCATAACTTCCCAACTTCTATGCTGAATATCCTGACTGATGAAGGCCCGTGTGCCAAAATCTTTCTTCACTGCCCTGTCCACCTGTGACTCCACTTTCAGAGAACAGTGCACCTGAACTCCAAGGTCCCTCTCTTCCATTACACTCCTATAGACCCGACCATTCACCATGAAGCTCCACCCTGGATTTGACTTTCCAAGATGCTATGCCTCACACTTATCTATATTAAACTCCATTTTCCATTTCTTGACCCAGTTCCCCAGGTGATCAAGATCCTGCTACAATTTCTGATAACCTTCCTCACTTCATGATACCACCTATTTCAGTGTCATATGCAAACTTAATAATCATGCCTTGTACAATCTCATGTAAATTATCAATATAGATAACAAACAGCAATGGGCCCTTCACTGACCCCTGAGGCACACCACTAGTCACAGGCCTCCAGTCAGATAAGCATCCTTCCAGTATTACTCTCTGCTTCCTACCATCAAGCCATTTGTGCATCCAATTTGCCAGCTCTCCCTGGATTCCATGTGATCTAATGTTCTAGAGCAACCCACTATGTGGAACCTTATCAAAGGCCTTACTGAAATCCATGTAGACTACATCTACTGCCCTGCCCTCACAGCCTTCCTGGTCACTTAATCAAAGATTTCTAACAAATTTTTGAGGCATGATCTCCCATGCACAAAGCCATGCTGACTACTCCTAGTCAAACCCTACCTTTCCAAATGCATGTATATCTTATCCTTATGAATCTTCTCAAGTAACTCACCTACCACAGATGTTAAGCTTACTGGTCTGTATTTCCTAGGTTCTTCTTTGCAGCCCTTCTTGAATGATGGCACAACATTCGCTACCTTGCAGTCTTTCAGGACTTCACCCATGGCTAACAATGATGCAAATATATCAGCCAGGGCCCCTGAAATTTCCTCCCTAGTTTCTTGCAGGATTATTGGATTTTACTGGTCAGGACCAGGAGATTTATCCACCTTTGTACATTCAAATACTTCCAACACACTTTGTACTGTGTCCCCAAGATATCACCAGTAACTTCCCCAAGTTCCCAAGTCTTCATACCTTTCTCCATCGTAAACACAGAGGATAAGTATTCATTGAGAACCTAGCCCATCTTTTGCAGTTCCACATGTACATGTCAATTTTGCCCCTTGAGCTGTCCTATTCTCTCTCTAGTTATTCTTTTTCCTTTAACGTACTCAAAGAATCTGTCTGGATTCACCCTAATATTCTCAACCAAAGCGATGCCATGCCCCGTTTTGCCCTCCTGATTTCCTTCTTCAATAAACTCCTGTATCCCCTATATACCTCCAGAGATTCACTTGATCCCACCTGCCTGCTCCTTGGCCATGCCTCCATCCTTTTGCTGGCCAAAACCTCAATATCTCTTGTCATCCAGAATTCCCAACTCCTGCCAACCTTGCTCTTCACCCTCACAAGAACATAAAGTTCCTGAACTCTAGCAATCACACTTTTAAAGGCCTCTCACTGTCCAGAGGTTCCTTTGCCTGCAAACAAACTACTCCAGTCAACCTCTGCAAGCTCCTGTCTAATTCCATCAAAATTCGTCTGGTCCCAATTTAGAACTTGAACTGGTGGAGCAATCATAGAATTCCTACAATGTGGAAACAGGCCCTTCAGCCTAACAAGTCCACACCAACCCTCCGAGCATCACATCCAGACCTATCCCCCATAACCTATGTCTTTTACAATAACTATTTAAAAAATAATAGAACAATGGTCACTGGTCCCAACGTGCTCCCCCACTGTCACCTCAGTCACCTGTCCTGCCTGATTTCCAAACTGTAGGTCAAGTTTTGTCCCTCCCCTAGTAGGAGTCTCTATATACTGCTTAAAGAAACTTTCCTGAACACATTTAACAAATTCCACCCCATCTAAGCCTTCAACACGATGGCAATCCCAGCCGATGTTAGGAAAGTTAAAATCCCCCACTATGATAACCGTATTAATCCTGCAAGTCTCCCCAGTCTCCGTGCATATTTGTTCCCCTAATTCCTGTTGACTATTCGTGGCCCATAGTACAACCCCAATAATGTCACCATCCCCTTTTTATTTCTTAGCGCCACCAAAAAAACTCGCTGGATGATCCCTCAGTTATCTCCTGTTAATCAAAAATGCAACTCCCCCTCCCCAAAGCACCTGTACCCTGGCACATTCATAGAATCCTACAGTATGGAAACAGGCCCTTCAGCCCAGCAAGTCCACACTGAACCTCACGGCATCCCACCCAGACCCATCCCCCTATAACCCACCTAATCTACACCTCCCTGAACTACTATGGGCAATCCACCTAACCAGCGTATCTTTGGACTGTGGGAGGAAACTGGAGCAAACCCAAGCAGACAGTCGCCCGAGGCTGGAATCGAACCCAGGCCCCTAGCACTGTGAGGCAGTAGTGGTAACCACTGTGCCACCGTGCCACCCCGCCACCCCACTTTAAGCTGCTAGTCCTGCTCCTCCCTTAGCTGTGTTTCTATCATGACTATAATATCCCAGAATCATGTACCTATCCATGCCCTAAGTTCATCAGCCTTACCGGTCAGACCTCTTGCATTGATATAGAGGTGATTTAATCAACAAGCATTCCTCGCTCCCTGCCCTTTTCCATCCAGACCTGTCTCTTCAACTTGCTTTTTCTGAGTGCTATATCTCCTTACATCCTCGCGTTTGCGTCCCTGCAGTTGAGGATCCCAGCCCCTGTCAATCTAGTTTAAACCCACCCTTTTCTTCTACCTTCAAGCCAATTTTGTATCCAAATGGCTAGTTTTCCCTGGATTCCATATGATCGAACCTTGCTAACCAGGTTTCCATGTGGAATCTTGGCACATGCCTTGCTGAAGTCCAATATTGACAACTCCACCACTCTGCCATCATCAATCTTCTTTGTCACTTCTTCAAAAAACTCAACCAAGTTAGTGAGACAAGATATCCCAAGCACGAAACCATGTTTACAATTTCTAATCAGTATTTACCTTTTAAATCTATATTAATTTCTTGCCAAAAATAAACAAAATTGGCCTTACTCCAATGACAAACTTTAACTTTTAGGTCAGGCCTATCCGTTCCCATAACTATTTAAAAACAAATAGAATTGTGATCCAGTCCGATATAACTTTTCCAGAGAACTTCAAAGGCTGATATAAATTGTGTGGATGAGTCAGATTGGACTCGAAACATCAGCAGAGTTCCCTTCCTTACACATGGCATCACAGTTATTAAGTTTCTCCAGGTGTTTTTGCTTTTATCTCAGATTTCCAGTTTCTGTAGTACTTCATACTAATAAAAACCAGAAAAGTAGTATTACAACATTTATCTTGAAGATGGCACAACAATGTGAGGACGTATTAAAATCAATCAGTTTGAAAATAACACAGACATTGTAGGGACATAAAAATAACGAGAAATCACCTCGTCAATTCAATTGCCCCAATAAAGAATAGGATCAAAATAATGTAAAAGGCCAACTATGAGCAAGTTTCTGAATTGTTCAGGGAATTTCCTGATAAGAATTTATTACAGGCCAATGAAGAAGGAGATATTGCAGGATCAGACTCGGGTTTGTCAGCAAATAGCTGATGCTAATCGTAGAACTTAGAGAATAAAGATTCTAGCATCGTACAGTATTGATTAAATATTGTAAAAGGGATAAAGTATTTTAACTTCAAACTACAAAATGTAAAGTACACTGCTTTCGCAGGTTGATAATAAAACTGCCACAGGTAAATAAACATCAAAGTCTGGCAGGAAAATCTTTAAAATTTCAATGGCTTCTTTACTTTTGTTAAAGAAATTGTTTTGATGTGTTCGAATTAAATTCCCGCAAATTGATAGTTAAACGCAATGAAAGTCAGAGCTCATTGGATGACAAGACACTTGGGAGTAGGCAAAGTCAAAATAGTTCAGAAGTCATGTCGATAATTCATTGACACCAATATTGAGGATATCCGAAACAAAACAAAGTCGAATCAAAACGCAAATTACATTTTACCTAAGAGTTAACAAAGTGCGGAGCTGGAGGAACACAGCAGGCCAGGCAGAATCAGAGGAACAGGAAAGCTGAAGTTTCGGGTCTGGACGTTTCTTCAGAAATCTCTTACACTTTACATAGTTATATATCCGAAGCATTCCTTTAATAGTCCTTTAATAAGCATTCCTTTAATAACTCACGTCTAATCAGAGATGAGCAACGTCAGTGGAGAGCCAGGAAGACAGTTGATACAAAGAAGAAATAACTTCATTAGGTACAACATCTACACTTTTAATCTGGGTCTACCAATCAGAAATGACGAGTTAGTGTTCGTAGGGAATTGCAATTTCACGGACTCCCCTTCTCAACCTCTTTCCTCGCCTTAGGTTCAGAGAGCCTCAGGTTGAACCACCACCGACCATCTCTCTAATCATGACAGAGTTGGGCCATGGCGACTTTTCTTTTCAGTTCTTCACGATGGATGGATTACCGCACTTCGAGCGCAGCCTAATTGGAGTTACACCGTTTTAAGAACATGATCGCTAACATGTTGATGTTCTGGTGTAATTGTGACTAAATTCTTTTACTGATGTCGGCAGAAGCGGAGCATTTCAAAAATTGATTTTCTGAATATGATTAGTCAAAAGGGAAAGCAATCGAACAATCCATTATATTTTGTAACGAATTTATTAAGCATCTAATCGTTGACTGAAATACAAATATTGTAGCAAGTATTTGGTCTGATTTATGCCTATGTATATCAGGTAAGACAACATGAAAATGGTCGTAGCGAAGAAAGCGGTTACTCAGTCGGTCCTGGCCTTGGGAGCTTGAATAAAATCAATTCATATGAGGCGAATCCCCGGACACGTCGCAAAGCACTGACTTCAGCTGCTTATCTACTTGCCTTTTTTGAATTCATCCTAATTATTTTTGACACCACAACGGTCTCAGGTATGATATTCAGCATCCTAACTAGCTGTTGAATAGAAAAGTGTTCCCACGTGATCTCTTGTTTTGATGTAAACACTTTAACTTTATATCCTATGATTTTTCATCCTTCTCTCAATCTGAAGAATGTATTTAGACCATCCCTGCCAAGAACTCTTTTTGTTCTCAATTTTACTCTATTATTTGTTATTTATTCTCCAGGATGACAAACACCAGTTTCTCCAACTGACATGAAAGTCTCATATACCTAAAGCTATCGTCGCAAATATATTCAACATCCGTTCTAAATCTTCTACATCCTTGTAAGGGTTTGATGCTCAAAGATGGTCATGATGCAACTCTTGGGTCAGAAACCAACTGTTCAAATGGACAATTCATCCAGGAGGCTGATCAATAACTAGTATTATCACAATAAAGAAAGATGAAATATGAGTTCACATGAATGGGACTTCTGTAAACCAGTACTGCCATATTGAAACTATATTTGTCCATTTTACTGTTAACGGATGTGTTATCATCACTATAAAATGAAATACCACTGCCAAGATTATTTGGATTTGCTGATACTTGTTGATTTATCCTTAGAACCTTCGATAAAGAGTCGTGCAACGTTTACAGGTCTACACATCTCTAGCAGAACCCCACATGTAAGGAACCTTCCAATTGCATTTAAAGGTGTTCTATGAAGCACTTTGCCCGCCATACTGTAACGATTTTAAGTTCAGCTGGCCTTTCTAATGCCATTTCATCATCTTTTTTTAAATCACAAATAGAATTTCGAGTTTCTAAGAAGACCATGACATCACTTTTATTAGTTGATGCAGCTTGAATGTTATACCTTAATGATGTCCTTCCCTTCCTTCCATCAACCATTGTCTTGGTTCCCCACTAGCCGTACTCTTCTCTGATTACATTTTAACTCGTTAAATATTTAAGATTGATTCCATGGTAACTACCGATGGTGAACCCACACTGACGCCATCACTCTTCATTGCAAACCTGCCACAGTCAACTAAGCTTTCGACTCCCTATGTGTAACAACAGTGTGATACTTCATCCAAATCAATATTATAATGAACAAAATCAAGCTACATTTACGTTGCCGTTATATTTTGGTAGGTAACAGATTCTCTCACTTGTCCAGGATATCGTTCATCCTAACAACAACAACACATGCTTGATTTCTGCTCCGTCTCAGGTAGACCTGGAAACTGCATTCTCACCCTGTTCCTGCATGAGAAAGGCAAGGCAAAAGCACAATTAAGCTAATCAAAAACTGGGGCACAGCAGGCATAAGAATTAATGCCAGCAGGAAATGATGCAAGGGAATGCCTTCGGGCAGTGCCCAATGCGAACAAAATGAGACGGAATCATGGGCCGAATTCTAATGGCAAAAACAATTTGCATTTATCGCCTAAAATTGTTCGGGTAAATCAGCTACATGCGAGGAGGAATCCAATACACTAATTCCGGCAAAAGTTAAAAGAGAGGAATTGTTTTGTAAAAAGAGGAGACTAGTTTGCTAAAGTGTTGACATTACCCCATTGAGAGGGAGAAAAAAAAATGAAATTGCGAACAAACAGGATTTGTTTAACCTACTTTTCTAATCAACCTGTTCAGAGCTATTATTACACACCTCTGGGACGATGGAACTTGAACGCGGGTCTCTCAGTAAAAACACGGCCACTGCAGTACAAGAAGCAGAGCATTGATGAGCTAATCGATGACATCAATAATTATTAACTAACCACTGCACCTTACCTGGAACACCAATAGCCGCGATGACAGGGTAATAAATGGCAAATAACAGACCCGTCGGTGCTGCGTGCATTTCTGTCAGAAGATCTGGGTGCGATCTGTTTAGAAATAAACGTTGTATCCATTTATAGTTGGTATCAGTCTCCTGGGTGTTAACTGCACACTTTAATCTTTTACATTGATGACAGATCAACGGTCCTATAGTTTGACTCCTATTTTAAAATTTGATGAGTCAGGGAGTCTTTTTCTTTGATATGAGCGGGTCTAATGTGAAACTCAGTTTGTCCACAGTACTATCACAATGAGTTTTGCATTTTTGTAATAAATTATCGACAATCTGTTCTGTTGTAAATGAATATCATACATTAGGAATTAACATGCTTAACTTTCCAACGTGGAGCGAAGTACTAACAGTACAATGTATTAATGAGCAGGGATAAGCTGGTCGCAGAGTAAAGCAAAGATAAATTCTCGCTCCTAATATTGATTCGGTCCGTATGAAAGTGGATCACAAATAAAATAGTTGTGAAACATTCTGAGACTTTTCACCTTCTTTAGCACAACCGATCTGCGTTGATTATAGACCAGTGAAGTGAATTATGGTTATGTCAAGCGTTCACAGGCAATTTTTCACAATAATTTTTGTTTGTCATTTATATAAATGATTTAGATGAGAATATAGAAGATATAGTTAGTAAGTTTGCGGATGACACCAAAATTGGTGGTATAGTGGACCATGAAGAAATGTATCTAAGATTACAAAGGGATCTTGATCAATTGGTTGAAAGGGCTGAAGAGTGGCAGATGGACTTTAATTTGAATAAATGTGGAGTATTACATTTTGGTGAAACAAACAAGGGCATGACTTATGCAATTGAAATGAGGGCGTTGGGTGATGTAGAACACAGAGACTAAGGTTGTTCAGGTTAATTATCTTTGAGGTTTGCATCGTATATAGATAGGATGGTTAAAAAGGCGTTTAGCACGCTTGCCTCAATTGCTCAAATGTTAGAGTCTAGGAGTTGGGATGTTTTGTTGAGGTTCTACAAGTCGTTGGTGAACCCTCTTCTGGCGTATTGTATCCAGTTCTGGTCGTCCTGTTATATTAAGTTGGAGAGCGTTTGCACAGGATGGGCTAAAATTGATGATATTTAGCAGCTGTATGACCTTGAATGAGTCCTGGATGTGCCGAAGATGACACAATCAATATGTTTTTTTTTCATACGAGAGTGAGAGTTTCGTTCTGAATCATTGGACTTCACCTCGGACTGGGATCACGAACGGTGCCAGGAATGAACCTAAGGCTCCAGATCAGCCATTGATTGAGGGGCCCCTGAAGGGCAGAAGGGTGTGAGGCTTATTGATCTTTTCCTTTCTTTTTCATTCCTTTCATTTACTTAATAAATATTCATAATTACGTAAATTTGTGTTGTCGAGTCTTCTCTTAACTACATTTAACCGATTCTGAAGAACTGCTTGGATACACGCTATGATCCAAGACAGTTTTGGTGATGAGGATGGGAATTGGGAAAATGTCTTAAGAGGTGATACCCCAGAGACATTCCGTATTCCAGATTGGAATGCAGCAGACTCTGGATTCAGGTCTGCAGCTAATATGTTAGCACAATTAGGACCTCCGAAATGATGGGGGATGGTTACAACTGGAAAAAAGAAAGAACTGGAGGCTAGACAAGGGGAGGCAATGACCTAGTGATAATATCGCTGGACTGTTAACCCAGAGACCAAGGTCATGTTCTCGGGACCTGGGTTCGAATCCCTCCATGGCAGATGGTGGAATTTGAATTCAATAAGTATCTGGAATTAAGAGTCAAATGATGACCATGAGCCCATTGTCAATTGTCAGGAAAAACCCATCTGGTTCACTAATGCCCTGTAGGGAAGGAAACTGCCATCTTTACTTGGTCTGGCCTACATGTCCCTCCAGACCCACAGCAACATGGTTGACTCATGGGCAATAAATGTTGCCTAGTCAGCAACGCCCTCATCCTGTGAATGAATAAAGGAAAGACAAAGGTTTCTGCGCTGTGCTAGGTTGCTGAACCTTATAGAAGAGTTACTTATTTTTGTGGACTGGTTTGAATACACCTTTGTTTGTTGGTTGCTAAATGTCATTTTGTACAATTTGTGTGTTTTTGCGCCCTGGAGCTTGAGATATGGGGATGCATTTAAGTTAGTTGGCATTTTGGGAATGTATGGTGAATTGAAAATGTGGTGTGTGCTTGTGTTAGTGTGGGACATGTATGGTCCTTCTAAGAAACTATCAACAAAAATCTGTGACAAAATGTCGATTCAAAATTGGCCATAAAGCCTGTAAAATTTTTACCCTTTTGAATTGGCTCCGTGTTGTGTTTGGACTGAGGAAAGAATATCGGGAAAATTTTAATCCCAGAAAGTTTGGAATTTCATTTTTTGGCCACAGTGAACTTCCAAATATTGTTTAGACACATGCGTGAATCTTTAATTCCAGATGATAATATTGGCTCATTTTAAATGTACTTTGTAGTAAAATTATTCAATAATAGGGACATTGGAATGTTGAAAATGCAGCTCTCCGTTGATAGGCAGTTTAGAAAAGGCAAATTTAACGAAGTAGTTGGTCTTTTCCTTTTTTTACAGTACAACACACTTATTCCCCGAGCAAGAGGAGGAGAAATGGATGACGTAATTACGTGCATGAGTTTATGCCGCATCCCCTTTTTGAATCCGTATTAGATTAATACTAATTAATCCATCTGCTTTACGTGGAATGGATGGAGGTTGTTTTATTTAAGAAAGACACTTAATGCTGACCTTGTTTGTAGACTTTCAATGTCACAACACAATGATGGATGAGGCACCCTCAACCCATCAAACCATTCATCGATAACGCATTTCAGTGCTGGGGACGTATTGTGAAAACGTTAAATGTATCAAGTATCAGGAATCTCAAAATCACTGAGCTTAGGTACACTTAAACATACCGTGACAAAAACTGTATTAAGACTGACATGCCCTGGTATTCTAAAACATTTAAATGGAATAGTTACCTGAAAATTTAAAGGGATTCTGGGAAATGATAAAGTGCAAGCACACAATTTCAGTGCTTTCAATGCACAAAAATGGCTAGTAAGTTGAGAGAGTAAATAGACTATTGAATTTGGACAAATTTATAGAGATACATCAAATATCTAGAATGAGTTTATCAAGTACTAAAAAAAAGTTTGATATCTTAGAGGAAGAACAAACGAAGTATGTTTTGCCTGAATTGAATAAAAATGTTTGACTTCCGTTTTAAAATATTATAAGATTATGTTCCATTGACTACAAATCTCTCCAGATCTTTGGAATTAGATAGGTAGTAATAGTTAAGTTGCAAAATTGGATGAGACAAAGTAATTAAGGGTGGAGTCTGGTGGCAGAAGACAAAAAAAGAATATAATGCGAAAAATAGCTGAAATGCGAATTGAAATTAAAATGTATTTTAGGTAAAAGGAAGTTTAGATGAGAGCAGCAAACTGATAGATTTCTCTTGGTGATGTTTGTGTCCTTGTCTTCCTTTTTAAGAAAGACTGAATTGGTGATCAACCCACTATCTGAAGCATTGGGACTATATGTGGGAAGATAAATAAAAACTCATAACTCACTGGATAAGATCATATAGGACCGATTTAATTGTGCAAAAGTGAATGTTGTCTTGGAGGTAACAAACATGAGGGAATAAATGCAAAAAATCATGCACTGAAGAAAGGGTCTCAGACATGAAAACCTACTTGATGAAGGGATTAGTGGCGTGGGATAGCATAAAAGTGTAGCTTAAATGATAAGACACTGGCACAGAATCCATTGAGAAACTGACTGTAAAACAAGGAATGTAGTATTAGTGAAAGGGATGTCAAAAGAATTACAATCAAAATAATGAATGTGATTGGCTATTATGTCAAAATGTTACGGAAATGAAATTTCAATTTTGACCCCATTGGAGGCAGACAGATGAGTGGCGATCAGAAACTTAATGTTAACATTACTTGCTGAATCCATCATGTCATTGACGGTACATCACTGGTGGGAAATAATTAAATGTTGGTCCCCAAAGTCTATTGCAATCATTAATTTGATGCGACCCTAGTCACAGAAGTGAAAGAATATGGCCCCTGGGAGGAGTAATAGTGGACTGAGTGAAAGGGCCCATTGGATGACGTACAGATAGCCCATCTTGTATGATGCACGTACTCCAGCGTTTAAACCAGTAGGTGAAACTGTAACGTGTTAGGACGGTTAGTGTATGTGATAATAGGCTGAGCTAAGAATCAGGTGGTTTAGGAGTCTGTACTAAGGGAACCCTGGGAAAAATAAAAGGTGGGAAGCATAAGTTGAAGGCAAAGCCTGTTGCTCGTTAGAGCTGTATTGTTTGATACAATGCATATTGTAGCTCAAAGGGGGTACCTGCATTTGGAAGTAGTTATGACTCAATGATACAATCATTCATATAATTGGCAAGGCAGGAAACATGGTGAGGAAGTATGCTCAAGACGGATACAGATGAAGAGTACTGGAGAAATTTTGAGTTTGGCTATGATATTATTTTACCGTTATTGGGTGAGGTGAGCTGTGGATAGGGAACTGCAGGTTAAAAAAGGCACAAATTAAGGAAACTGAATCTGGAATATTCTGAATTTTAGGGTAAATTATGTAAATAGATTAACAGAAAAATAAAATTGTAGGCGATGTTCGGGTCACCTCAGTCAGGAGGCATTATTGGAAATGAAAGAAAAAAGAGTTACTGGTTATGGGATAAGAAAATTTGAGGACTATAACGTTGCAGAAAACTGTAGAAAACTACAGCTAACTTGCCAGATCCCCGCAACGTCTTATGAAAGGGGGGCCAGCTTGCTCAGAGAAAATTGAATAGGGACCTCAGAAAGAGGCGGCTTTCATCAAAATCAAACAGAAATTGGCCTCGGCACCAGCACTTGAACTCCCTGACATGAAAAAATCCCTTTCATCACTTTTGCAAACAAAGTAAGGACAATAGGTCTGCAGTAGTGCTACAGTAACATGGAGACAAGCTCTGGC